TTTTGATTTAAGAAAAGTCGCAAAAAATAGCGAGATGGCTTGTAAAGCCGGAGAGAATGAGAAGTTTTGCAAAGTTAACATTTATAATTTTCCACTACACATAAATGGATGTATCCCTTTAAATAGAACAGAATTCAGCCCAGTTATCTAAACATTAAACCTCTGAAGAACGTATGGGCGTCGCCATGTTGCATGTTGCTTGCCACTAACTACCAGCGATAACCAGTTGTACGTTCCCAGCGTTTGAACAGCAGACCCATGAACGACTAATCGAGCCGTGCATGAACATACGAGAACAAGCCTCCCGAATCCATTGTGTTCAGGGCCGTATCCGATTAATATTCTTATGGGCACTTGCAGCTGATAAAAGATATCTTTTAACAAACGGCTCAACGCATCAAAGTGCTTCGTTGAGATTCTTGGAAAACCGTACATATGTTTTATTACACTTTCAAGTGGCCAGCCGAAATAAAACGATTGGAATATAAACAAAGTCAAAAATTATTCTTAAAATGTTTACAAATTACAGCTTACCCTACAGAACCCCCCCCCAAAAAAAAATCCAGAATAAAAAGAATGAGCCAGCGAGTTGCAAGATGGAACAGGTGTCTAGAACGTCTGCACGGGGCCATCCTCCCACTAAAAAAGAGAGATTTAAAAATAGCGGGGAGCGATGGGCAAGGGGGGGGACCAAAATAAGGAGGAAGAGAGGAACTGGGAAGGGATGTGGCGGACCGCAGTGCGATACCAGAATATAAGTAGTAATAATATCAAGCGATGGATTGCCAAGTGGGGAAAAAAGCATTAAAAATGTATAAATTGAAGTTTTGAGAAATGACACGAAAACAAAGTGCCTTGGGGAACAAATTCTGCGCACTGATTCTTTTGCGGCAAAACAAGGTTGCTTTATTCCGTGCACTTTCAAGCTTGTTTCTCAGTATGCTAGTTTCTCTTTATAACAGCTTGGATGAATTGAATTCTTGTTCCGGCAGTTCACCCGTGACGGGTTGGACTCATCGCAGCGAGAAATATCATTGTCTGCTTCTGGAGAGTCACCCAGGCATGACGGAGACATCCATTGAATTAGATCGGACCATTTTTTGTTCACTGCGCAGCACACTGCATTCTCTTTGCTAACAACGTCGGGAATCACGAAATGACTTTTCGTTTCTCCGTCCACATAATTTAACCTTGATTTCAGCCAAAAAAAAAGTGGCCCAGGTGTCGAACGTGTACGACAGATCAGGAGTAGTTAACGTGGTTAGAAGTATAGGTCACTGACTTCACACTAACACATTTCTAGAGTAAACTAACAGACACCCCCCACACACACACTGATTGGTGTGCACCCGCGTTTCGTTGCGCTCTCATGTACGAATACGGGCGATTCAAAATAGTGCGCCTCCAAGAGTTGGCAACGCGTTGGCCAATCACAACGCGCGAAATTTGTCGACCCTTTCCAAACGCGCATTGGGTCGACAGATTTCGCGAATTGTGATTGGCCAACGCGTTGCCAACTCTTGGAGGCGCACTATTTTGAATCACCCGTGTTGCTGTGTATCATTGGCCTAGTTCGGGTGCTCTGAAACTTGCCAAAAATTCCACCTGTCACGCTAACCTCCCAAACTCCATTGAACACCCTAGCAACACGCACAAACCGAAACTATTGATAACAGCAAAGAGTGTTTTTATTATACACACACCGATTGTCTTCTTCAATTGATTTCGTCATGTTTGGAGTGGATCGTACGGTGGAAAGTCACTCTCCCGCAAAGTGGGCTGATTCGGAAGGTTTGCTGCATTTCTAGGACTTCAGAGGAAATATACCTCAAGTGTAATATTTTCCAATAATTTTGGAAGGCGACAGTGATACTGTCGCGGGCATGGGTTCATTTCTCTCGGTGGGGGTGATTCGGGAAAAGTGTTGGCTTGATAAACAAAAGACGTGAAATTATATAACCGCTGACATGGCATATACCCTTTCATTCACCCTTTATCCCTGGCCCCAGGGATTAACCGTCCTCATACAACTTTGACAACTGGAGATTTCAAGCGCAGGCCGAATTAACACTTTTCATCAAACGATTTTAGCTTTCCGTGACTATGGCAGCACGGAATCTATGACCAAGCACACTTTACTTTGCTGAGAATAAAATCATTTCAACAGAAAGGTCCCTGACAAGTTATCTGCGTGCACGTGAGTTTAATTTTTATGGGGCGTTTTCAAGTGTTTCCCTCCTTTGGAACCCCCCCCCCGGACTCTTTTCTCGCGGGCTAGTAGAGGGCGTCCGTGTGTTCCTTCGCGCCATAAATTATCTTCAAGGGTCGCTCCTGTCGACAGACAAGTCTTTGTCCGTGCGTCAGTAGGTCTATAAAATCGTTCGAAGGCGTTACACGGCCACGAACAAGGCGAGAAAAAATAGCATACCGAGGCTTCCTCTCCTGATGCTTCGTCAGGCATGACCCTTTCCCCTCAAATAAGGAACCACGCGGAGCTCTTCCGGCATATTACCGTTCTCTTTTACTGAAAGGAAACTGAGAGTTCGCTTGTCCTGATTTCTCAGATTTCAACAGCCACAGCGCATAAAATTGCGGTTGTAACTGCAATTCTTTGGACGCAACAGAAGGAAGGGACCTTGGACCAGATTTTGTCGGTCGCCGAAACCTTGAGAGTTCTTGCTCGCCACTGAGTAACCCTAGGGTGCGGGATTCCTTGTAAGGAGGAACATTACGGAACGTCTCGAGCAAGACGTTCCAGGCACTGGGCTCTCCACCTCAAGGTTACACGTAGCCCGCCGTTCAGCCAGACACTGCCTCCGCACTGTGCGCGGGTAGACTGTCTTGCTCACGATCCGAAAATAGATCCAAGCGAGACATGTTTGAGGATGTGATTCAGAACACGGATGAAATAAGATTTTCCAACGAAGGTAATATTTTAGTTGGTATTTTCGCAATTACCAAATGTACAACTTCAATTAACCGTGGAAAAGATCTTCGAAAATTCAGCCAGAGGGTCTTCAACATTTTCACTGTTTAACTTGTCTGAGATCGGTTCATGACACGTTCGGAATAGTGAGCTCTCAAATTTCATCGTCCTTTTGGGGTATTTTCTTAAGAACATTCCACCATCAAGACGGGAACTAGGCGTGAACCTAACAGGAAACCTAATCACCAATGTGGTTTGTTGCAGACTTGTCCCAAGGAGTGAAGAAACCCTTTTAGTTCGCCACCATAAAAGGTGCAGTTTCCATGTAATATGACCATGCGTAGTGCTACAGTTTGTCCCTCAGGTTCCGAACCACCTGCACCAGATATATAGCACTTACCCGAAATTTCAGTCATCCGCACTGCTCAAGAGACTTAGTCATGACAAAACATCAAAACCAAAATACAACGCGAGTTTGAGACTGAGTTTGTATCAAAGCAAGGTGTCTCGATACATGAAATGATTGCTTACAGAATACCAATCGAGGATATTTTGCGTGCGTTTAGGGTGCTTTGTGGGGTACAATGGTAAGTACCCCATAGGGAACATTCGTGGGGTACTAAAACGGTACCCCATAAGAATTTCACGAAGCCGATGTGTGGAATTTACTCAAAACTAAGGAATCTTCAAAGTGTACATGTCTGTTGAAAATGGACGTATTTTATATTAGGGATGTTCAGTCGAAATTTCTGCCGAGGAAAACGATTCGGGACCAAATGTGCGCAGGGCCGGTTGGGGAGGTGTCATTTCAAACTGTCCACAGTGGTGAACGTAAACAGAGACAGCACATGGTCGTGTGCGTATGGCAGCGGAGTCAAACAACTATCCCAGTACTTGTTTTGTATCCTGTGTTGATTGATATATTGACGTTATTGGGATCAAAAACTTCGCGGGGACAAAAATTTTGTTCCTACAACGCGGTCTCAACTTTTCAAACAAATTGTCCCTCTTAGTACAAAGAGACCTGTACCCAGTGACACACACATAGAAATTGACACAGAGAGCAAAGCCCTGACAGGCTCTAAACACAGGGGCTCTCTTTATGCAACCAATTTGCACTTCCTGTGTTGAAATTGAAAAGATCCCTTTGTTCGTGCACATCATATTTCGTTTTCATCTGCTCCCCGCTCAGCCTTGATGCCGAGAGCATGTGTTTGGTCAGCCTGGTGCAGACCTTAAAGTGTTCCCCTTGCACATCAACATCTTCTCTCAAAACCACATCGTCAGCGGTCCTTTTGTTCAGGAAAATTGGCTCTCCTGAAGATCGGCATCAGCGTCGGGAGATGTATTTCGCAGACGGCTTTGCCGCTAGTTCAGCATTGAGAGAGGAATGTTTTAAAGATCACGCAGCTACAATAAACCTGAACAGGAAATTATTTGTGAGGGACGGGTGAAAACATTTCGGTGTTTCAGGGCAAAATCAATCGTACTTTTTTTCGGAAATTTCATTTCGGAACGATGTATTCACCAAGGGAGTTTTTTTTCGGGGATTTCATTTTGGAACGATGCGCGCACCAAGGGAGTTCTTTTTCGGGGATTTCATTTTGGAACGATGTATTCACCAAAGGAGTTCTCTGAAAGTTTGCACCCAGGCATGTGAAAGGTGTTCCCTCCTCTATGCGCAGAACGAAGAGCCCCCCCCCGGCATCCCGAATCCAGTGACTTCCGCGTATGCTCCACACGACGCAACAATAGAGAGTGTGCCAATCCGAGCAGTCACGAACGATTTACGGGTCATCAGCGCGTGCAGTGTCAACAGTCTGACTGCCAGGCTACGCCTATATAAGCCTGGATGTGACTCGTTCGATTTCAGAACCTAGCTAGGCCCGAGCCAAAACAAGAGCAGAAGGGTACAGGGACTGGAACCCTTTTTTGCGGCTGGAACTCAACTCGTATGCAAACTGCTGAGGTGCGAATCAACCCTGCAAGAAACGTCGACATCCAACAAACCATGGATCATTTGGGACTCACGCGATTCAACACAAGACTCAGAATTCCGCTCCGTCACAAGAAAAGGTAAGTCGGATTGAAATCAAGTTAGAGGACGGCAAGGCTGGTTAGTTCTCCTTTTTTGATGTAAAAACAAATTATATTATTTCCGGATTGTGGTGCATAAGACCTCAACAATTCGTATCAGCACCGTGACATCTACGGCTTCCCTCCCAATATATTATGGAGAGATCGTACGTGAAGATTTGGGAAGGTTAGCAGGACATCTTATAAAAAAGGCAACTGGAAACCTAGACCTATCTCTGTTTTAATATTCAGGCAAAAAAACCAACTCCACAGTTACATTGGTAAACTTTTCGATGGTTAGTTGTAACGCAGAGAACCCGCGGCTTTTTAACTTGAAAGAGGTAGACTTATATGCGATTTTTTTTTGTCTCGCAAAATCCTAAACAAGTGCACCCCCCCCCACCAAAACAAAAAACCCAGTGCACGCCACATCCGGTAGCCCTTCTATCCGGGTAATGCTACGCTGAAATCTATAGGCTAGCCACGCTGGCTTCCCTCCACTCATCCCGACCCTAAAACTCTAATGTAGTTATAGTTCCCACAACAAACAACATTACGACACTCGTGGAAATCCTCACCCGTGACTCACGGGCGAAGCTATCTGCATCATGCCGATCATGCACAACGGTCAGAGAAAACCGCACCATTTCGTTTATTATGAACTGGTCACTCACTACTGCATCGCGTATTATCATGGAAGTAGGAAAAGAATGGACGAGGCTGCCACAGTTGGACAGTGAACTGTTCACTTCAACGTTTGTTTGTATACATGAATGAATGACAAATGACTTCCAACCCTTTCCGAAGATGTACTGCAGTCGACAACTGAAAATGTTATCGCCAATTACAGATTTCAGATTTGATGTAGTCTAAACTGGAACTTGTTTCTCAAGACTTTGAAGTTATTTAAATGTTATGAAAGCGGGTGGTCCCGAACATGTTCAAAAGTTTCGTGTCTTATTTTTTCATGTTACAACCCAACTCGACGGTGTGTGCTCAATAGTGGCCGGCTGGGATTACAAAGTGCGAGCATTTGTCATAACTCATTCCTGATTTTATTGGAGCAGTTGACATTGATGAATGCCGCATTAAACGACTTTAAATGTCAACTCGTGTAAACGTTGGCACACGATTGAATTGGGCGACCACCTCCATAGTTAAACACTGCATCAGAGGCCACATTCAGAATTCATGCAAAAATATGTATCAAACGAAATAATAGGCTAACTTCGTTGCTATAAGAAACTTTGTAGGGTAATAAATCGAGCACCTCCTCACTTAACTTTCAGTTTAGGCCTATAGGGAAAAACAATCCAATCTTGGCCGTCTTTCGTGAGTCATGGCGCTAATTTTCACTGATGTTTGACAAGAAACAGTCTCCGAAGAGGGAAGACTTTTTTGTAAGGTTCAAAATGTTTTACAGATGGCGACAACAGAACAAGACGTCCCAGGCAAAGGGAATGTTTCAGCCAGAGGAAATTTTGCTCTTAATTAATACAGGAAAATGATGTAGCATTTGAAAATTGGATTTAATTTCATCGTTCCGCAGGAGGCAGGTGACACAAACAGCTCCAGACCCAACAAACGAGCCGCCCCCTTCCTACAGCGAATGCTCCGCCTTCTTCTATGCGCCCCCTTCGTACGAGGAGATCTTCAACGAGTCGGTCACGGCCCTCGTCGCGAGGCCTGAGCGGCGGCGCAGCATTAACCGGATGAGCTGGGGCAGCGACACCTCGACGTCATCGTTGGAATCGTCCTCCTCCGCCCACTCTGCCTCCTCGACGTCGGCTCCGCCCTCCTCCTTCTCGACAGCAGCCAGCACCTCCTCCTCTTCCTCCCGCGTAGTGCCCACGGCCCCGCCCCTGTCGCCGCCGGCAACCTCTTCAACGCTGTCGCTGTGGTTGTCGTCAGTGTCACCCTCGACCTCAAGGAATGTCGAGAACCTGTCCCGACACACACACAGGTGTGCGAGTTCAGGTAAGGAGCCCTGAGAAGAATCAAGAGTCTGTTTAAACGGGATTTTTTCGAGAGTCTGTCTCTATCAGGATTTGCAATTTTCAGTGAATAGAGTCAAACCGCAAGATTGACTCTTTTAGGTAGAAACGTTCCCCACCAAGAAATGTTTACAAATCGACTTGACACTCACAAATCTCCGTTCCATTTATTTAAACTCGCAGTTTCCAGAAAATCGTCTTGTGTTCGTTAATATCACTCTCTGAGGTTTTTAAGCGGCTCAGGTCTGAAATTACATTCCTTAATTGCTGTTTTCGTCTATTTCTAGATCCCATTATTAGCTCGTCATCCTCGTCAGCGTCTGACGTCATTTCCAGATTGCAGCCGCGCCTGCGCAGTTGGACGCAGTGCGTAAGATGGGTGATTCAGTACACGTTGGAGGGAAATTTCAAGTCCACAGTGGCGCACTTCCTATGCCTTGTAAGTTACCATGGTTATAAAAAGTTGTAAATGTTGAATTCTTTAAGCTCCACCCATATCTGGTGCTGCCCAAGTTTCGCAAAATAATATGGGGAAATGTCTTTAAGAGCGTTGTGTTACAAACAGCTAGCGTTTCGCGTAAGCTAAGCTGATCATGTATCCTGTCTCCGGAAAACCGAAATAAAATCGAGTTCATGAATTTTCAAGCTAGGAGCTTGTGGAATCGGAAGGGTTTAATTTCGCGCACTGATACATTTACTTCATATCTGCGCTCTGTGAGTGCTAGCATACTTAAGCCCCTTATTCTGAGTGAGAGAAACATCCAGGAACATTGTTCCTGCTGCGGCGGGGGGAAGCGCGCAACAGCGGAACCGGGGTATTAACTTAATTTACCCCCTGAGAGGATGTGGCCCGTTATCGCTGCATGTTGCTTTTCCTTCTGGGGGAGGGGCCTCGTGTTATATCCTGGGAAGCATCCACGGAGCTATTTATAGCTCTACGGACAATGATGGGGTTAAAATAAATGCGGTGGGCGATGTGGACTGTTCAGGACGTGTATCTAGACTGGAAGTCTGTGCAAACAGAGTTTGGAGTAGAGTTTTAGCACTTTTCAGTATTTGCTTGTGCACCGCAGGATGGTAAAATATCGCACAGTTGAGCAAAAGGACAGATAAGCCAGTTTAGCAATAGACAATGATCGGAAATGGGCCTTGCGTGTGACGATGTGTCATTCAAAGAGGACTGCCTTCATTGATGCTTACATCTGACGGCTGTCAGTTTGATAAAGACTCCCCAAACCCTTGTGCTTGTTTCCTTAACAAAATTAGTTCAAACTAATTGTTTCCTTTTATAGATGTGGTAACAACACATTTACAAAACCAATCCTTGTTTAATTAACAGATAAAGACATTTTTTATCATCGTGAAATATTTTTGTGGGATATTTGTCACCAAAAAGAACACGAATTCAGTTAGTATATTCCTGTTAACGTTTTGACTTTACACGAGAAACATCAAAGTGGTTACGTTGAGGTTAGATTTCTGTGATCTTCAGTCTTCAGAGGCTCGCCCTCGAGTTTCTGGAGTCTCAATCTCGAGATTTTTTGTGTGATTACTACAGGTGAACGAAGGTCTGCGTGTCTGCCGGCAGCACGCGGCCGACACCGAGGCCTACCCGATCCGACTATCGTCCCTCGCCGTGGCCAGACCCACCGCCCTGAGCCTGAGGACCTGGATCGAGTTCATCCTCTGCGTGGGGTTCAAGTTCTCGCAAGGTCACGTCAACAGCTACAACAACAACTACAACAATAACATCAACCACAACAACCGTGGCGAAAATGACGACGACGACCATCCGCAAAACTTCCTGGCCTACATCTTAGCGAATACAAACAACAGCAACGGCAACATTGGAGACGAGTTGGAGGACTTGTGCGTGATAGTCCCGCGAGGTTTTGCCCCGAGACAACTGCTGAAACACCGCGATGTTCTGACCGGCTTACTCGGTAACTTAACAGTTCTATTCCTTTAACTAGAGCTCTCAAAAGATAAATTTCAAGCATGTAGTTTTCAAAAGAAGAAACAGCTTATTGAAGTTGGGAATTACCATGTTGAACCCTTTTAAGAATTACCGATTTATCATGTATTTCGACTGATTTCGTCGAATAACCTTGTGGCACCGAAACTCTTTGACACGTAAAATTTCAACGCAACGTTCACAGTGTATGTGCACAGCACTCCATAGTAGTGTTGTCCATCCACCAAATCCCCGTGAAAGACTTGTCAGATGCTTGACAAAGGTGCCGTCAATCACCAGCTTTTTTCCGGGTTTGGGAAGAATTTGCAGTAGTCTAAAAAGCAGGACTTTCGAACCCACATAGGTACATAGATGACTCATGCTGGGACTTTCTCTGTATGGATTTCTCCTTTCCGTAAACAACAAAAACAATTCTGGTAAAAAAAGACCTGCCGGTTGTCCAACTGTTTTGAAATCTACTGAAAGTCCCCAGTGATCTGAGTGAGTCAGTCTGTGTCTCTAGCTGAAGAACCATGCATCTAAATGAATTGCCCTGTGCGGTAACAACGTGTTTCCTGCCCAGTCAGCGACTAGACTTGTAACCATACATTTAAAACAAAATGGAATTGACTGAAGATGCGGATCTTCAGGGTGATTCATTTTTGGCTCGTTTGTCAACAACTCGACATGGCGTGCCAGCCCTGGCCAACACGCTATAATTATTGTGAATCGTGTGACATTTCACTGCGGCAAAAAAATACTCGCGAGCTAATCCACAAAACAGCCGAGAACGAAGTTGCTTCACCTTTGAATCGAAAGATGGCTTTATGTCACGGCACGGAGTATGAATCAAGGATTCGAGTTTATGAGCATGGCCTGTGCAGTACAAAACTGCTCGGTAGATTTTGTGGTGGACATTTATTTGCCGGTTCGACAAAAAAAAAGCCAAGTAGGCCTATGTCACGCTAATCGAAATCTCTGAGATTTAAACGCCGAGCGAAATAGAAACTCAGGATAGCTTTGGTGGATCAATCTACCATAAAGGACCTGGGTAGTTCCCCTTCCCTAGTCAATGTCCAATGAACGAGTTTTAAAAAAGTCCATACAGTTAGTTTAAACTACATCAAAATAGTTAGTGTCTTATGATAATACCTGAACGTCAAGTGATAGATACCGGAACTCGGGTGTATTTATGTTATGTGAAGGGTATACCCTCATTTCCAGACGTAAAACCACCGACCTGCATTTTTCCCGTTCGGGGAATTTAAAGGGAGCATTTTTGGCACTGAAATGTGGAAAAATAGCTTTTGCTCAACTGTCAACACGACCACTTTTTGAATGAAATTCGAGTTAGCCATCGTTTCATACACGTTCATTGAATACAAATATGATTTTTTTGTGTTTACTGTTTTGCAGAGCTTCCTTACACGGCCATCAAGACTGCGGCCAACATGTCTAGGACGGAGACAGAGCGAATTATTGCACTTGTGAGTGGACAAAATATTAGCAACAATCTTTATGTTTACTCATTTTTGTGTAGACCTTGTGTGATTGCAAAGTTCATTCCATAAAGTGGTTCATTTAATTTTAGTCCAATTAGTGAATTCTTTAAACATCTGTCCCATTTCCGTGTACTTTTCAGTTGACCCCACTCACCCGGTCTTCTCCCGACACGTCTTCGGTGGACCACGCCCCCTCCTGGCACCACGCCCTGTCCTTAGACCACGCCCTCGTCCGGTCTGTGTGGGATGTCCACCGGCGCCCGGGCTTCTTCCTACATTCGCTGGACTTCATCGTGTCCCGAGGTGGAGAGGGCGGGAAGTGCTTGACGGTCCCGACCGGCGAGGTGGCTAGACGACGCCTGCTACTGGCCAAGGACATCTTGGAAATGTTCTTGCGGAACTGATTGTAAAGGGGAAAATGGGGGATTTTCTGACTATTTTTACGGGGGAACAGTCTGACAGGCTACATATTGAAGGGTGAACAGACATGTATATACTGCTCTTATCTTATCTTATCCCATCTTATCAGACAAGACAGATTTTTTAGTGCAAATATTGGGGTCCTATGTGGACTAAAAATGACTACCCCAAGAGGGCGTTAGTAATGCGGAAACTCAAGTTGAGTAGTTTTTTTTTCATATTTAACTTAAAGCCACAATCTCTAATATTGTTACTGAGTTTTTAAGTCTGCTCCGAGGAAATAAAAAATTGTTTTATACATGTAATTACTTCTTAAATGATCACAGAATCGCTGTGCTGGAATATTTTCATACATTAATGCAATGAATATTTATGTTAGAACTGTAGTATTTTTGTTCACAGTATGCAATTTACGATTTCAAAATATTTATTGAAAATAAACAGCTTTAAAAAGCAGTGTTCCAACACGGATGAGATTATACGTACGTTCAATGTGTCGTCATAATAGATATTTAATTACGTTTTTTGTCGAGATCCGCATCCGACAAGAAGCTGGAGTGTGTATAGGGATTGGACTTCTGTGCCCATTTCGTGCCTGGTAAGCCTGTACTACACCATGCAATGACCATAGGTCAGGAAACGAACTCTGACCCTGGCTAGACGCTGGATCCTACCTTTTGGCACGGACACAAATAAAAAACCTGGACTTGCAACGCCTTTGTATGATATAGAAGCCAACCAGCGGCCATTTAACCGAGCCGAATACAAATGCGTGGGTTGTCTCGCTTCTATTGACGCCAGGGAGAACAAAGGCGGGCATTGCTGGGCAAGCTTTGTATTCGGCTCGGTAAAATGGCCGCCAGTGGATTCAATGATCACTATTGGCTGATTAAGGGCACTGCGAGTCCAGATTTTATTATACACGTCCGTGTCTTTTGGTCGTTTTCGTAATGACGTCACTATGACGCAATCGATTTACATAATTCTCATCCACCACAAGACATAAATTAAGAAATCAGAGACTTCAGCCTGTTTTTGAACGAATTATTTTAATGACATGCATTTTCGGCACGATATGTAAAATCACAAGGATTATTCTTTTTTGGTAACATGGTTGGCAAAAAAAGGACAAACCAACAAGAAAACACAACTGCATACAAACGGTCTGGAAAACTCAACTGAGGAATTATATACAAAATAATAACAGTAATGCGTGGCACTGTACATAAAGGGGCTGGGCCAATACTATTGTACATTGAACGATATTCGATGGTCACAAAACAAAAATTTAGCAAAAGAGGTCTTTCCTGCTTCTCTAAAAGGTTCATACATGTATTTAATTCTTCGCCATTTGACAAGGTGTCAATGGACGAAATCTGAATTCGTTTACCGCATGCATGTAATTTTCGCCGAACACAGAACCACAATGTGCATGTGTGTGTGTTTCCTATGCGGCCGTGGCTCTGAGAAAAATTCTGAAGAAAGCAAATTTTGATCTGGCCAAGATGAACGACGACAACGCTTGAGATTAGTTCAGCTGAGAACTGATCTCGCCCCACCGCCATATCTGTTGTGTGATTTTTGGCTACACAGTGGCGCGTGCCTGGTACTTTCATACGTCGATGCACATTTTATTAGATTGGGGAACAGTGACAACTCGGCCTCAGAAAATAAGTAAAGCTGTAACATCGAGCGCCCTCACAGCTAGCTGTTCAGCGGTTGACAATGCTTTGGAATTAGAAAACTGTGTATCACCTCAAACTACAGGGTTGCATCCGATTCTGTTGTCTGAAGCTAGGTCTAGGTCCTCACTCCATTGTAAATACGCTGAGACGCGCAGACAATAGACCTAGCCGTAGCTCTAGAAGCCCGTTTCGGGCACGACTGAAGGTTGGACGGCAATGCATCACAATAAAAACCAATTTAACTCGATGGCCGAAACCAAACATTCCATTTAGCATTTAGCCACGCGGCAAGTAGGCCAAAATTCGGCCAGTGCAGGATCAAATTTTTTACACCCAATTTCAAAAAAACCATAGCGAGTCACAGTACCGATTATGGTCAGTCATTGCGTCAACGCCCCCTTCTGGTACACAAAAGATTGACATAACTTCTCCATGTTGAGTAGATAGCACTTAATCTTCAAAGGGGACTCAAATACGGAAATCTTAATATAACACTGATCACAAAGTGTAACTTTTAGATTAAATATTGGAGAGATAAACACAGGATAGAAATGAAGGATTTTCGAAACGAAAAATTGTACATGCATAAACATATGTTTCCTTTAGATTCTTAAGTCTGAAGATCGCTCAATCTATAAACAACTAGTCACGACTGCTTCTTTGAGTGGGAAGTTATAAATACTCCACAAAGCAACTCGATATGCTAATTTATGCCACCGAAATTCTTTTGAGACTCCAAGTGTCAAGGAAAAAATTTCCTGGAAGCATTCTTTTTCAATTCTTCTGAGACCAACTAAATTCTTAGAAAATGCATTCACTTTAATTTCTTTGCAGACTGCTAATTAATGTAATTGTCCTTAACACTTTTTATTTTGAATAATGTGACTAGTTAAATGTGACCAACACGGGCGAGTCTGACAACAGTGCGCCTTCAAGAGTTTGCAGCGCCTTGGCCAATCACAACGCGCGAAATCTGTCGACCCTTTCCAGACGCGCATTATGTCGACAGATTCCGCGCATTGTGATTTATCAATGCATTGCAAACTCTTGGAGGCGCACTACCGTGAAACGCTCGTATCGCCATTCTCTCAACACTGTACAATTATGACCATTTCTTGCTTACGTCTTCAGTGCCCAATTAATATTTACACTGTCAATTTTCACAACTTAATAACAGCAGCTACAACGTCAAAAAAAATTACCAAAATTAACTCTGGTACAGTGAGCCATGGCAGATATATTTGTTTTCCTCCTGTTATATGTTAGCGGTCAATACCCCTTTTGACATGAAGTTACTTTCCTCTTAAGAATCTGCTTGAAGCACAGTCCAAACACGTGAAGAGAAATTTGTTGTTACAGTTTTTACAGACCCGGGGGTCCAATTCTAAAGACTAGAGCTGAACGGCATCGAGAACAGGCAAGATTCGCTCAGCAAAGACAGGTTACCAGCTAAGTTAACATATAATGCACACTACTTCTGACTGGTTCGTTTTTTTTGGTTTGTTTGCTACACGGGCAATCACTTTCAACTCTGCAGCTCCACCTGCTGGCGAGCACAAATGTGTCAGTCACTTTGTGGACCTCTGAACAAAAGATGTCCACACAGTGCAGGCAGCTACTGCCTTCTGTGGATTCACTTCCAAACAGGTTTTCCCTTCCCTGGTGAACATGGTTTAGAGGCATTTTGACGTTAAGGGTTATCTGTTGCCAAAAAAGCAAGACAGGTCAGAGTTCAAGGGGGTATTTTCACCAAGTTTTCTTAAATCTTAACTACACCAAAGCAAAGGAATGTCCGCCCCAGTTATGTAACGCCAACACGTGCATCAAATTGGCTGCTGATCTCACAGGGTAGTCAGTGTTGGCACACTTCACTGAGCTCTCAAGTATTAGGCTGAGAAACTAGTTCGAGGCTCTACATTGGGAGCGATCGTCCAGGGCTATAAGCCAAGCATCGAGCTTTGCTCTTCCCCTGTGAATTCAGTGCAAAGCACTGACCTCCGTACCAATTGGACTTGGGATTAGCATTGCTGTTCCCCGTCAGCACTGAGAACCCATTTTCAATGTCCCAATTTTTGCTGCTATCAGTAGCCCGGTTTTGCTCGATCAGATGTTCACCCTATTGCAATCTGCCAACCTGTACACCCCCCCCCCGTGATGCTACTGAATGCTCAGCAAAGTTGGCCGGAGACCACTTACAACTGACCTTCCGACCTTGTCGTTCTCCTTCCTGAAAGGTATTTAAATGAGCCTTCAGTTCATTCAAAATTTTAATCTATTGTGTGCTAATGCCTGACCTCAGGAAGGAGTACGGCATGTTGGCAGGTCTGTTAGAAGCAATGCATGTCTCATGATAATTTGGTTGGAAAGTGCAGTCAGCTAATTCTGGATTGGTAAACTGCTCTCGGCTCAAAAAAAAAACAAACAAACAAAAAAAAACAAAAAACGGACGTTCCCAATTTGAAACTGGGCCTCCGTTTTGGACACTGGCCCGTGCATCAGAAAAACCACTAAGTCTGGACTGCATACTATGTGATTGTCGCGATTGTGACTGATTTAATAATATTGGCCTTCGTCTCCGTCATCATTCAGACATTCCTCCCCCAAGTATGCCGGCTCCTCTTCCTCTCCTTCGCCCTCCGGTGCCTCAAAGCCATCCTGGACAAGACAGACGAAACAGCAGAGTGAGCAGAGACAACTTCCATGCCATTAAGATTGGAGAGTGGATCTGAACGGGACGATACAAGGCCCGTTTGTTTCACACGGATCTGAATCTTGATCAGTGATCCCTGTGCTGGTTCGCACCATCCATTCGGCGGGATCTAGCGCTGGGGAACCAACGTCGGATCACTGATCACGATCTGAAACAAACAGGCTCTTAGATTGAGAGTATTTTATATCATAAACACATTGTACCGACAGGTGTGGCACCGGACTAAAAATGTACATGCAAGTGGGACCTGTTTATTACTAATTACTACACATGTACCATTTTCCACAGAACTGCTCTCAGAAATGGAGAAATCCCCCCCCCCCAAAAAAAAATTGAAACATTTTTCCAAGTACACACTGTGTTGGATTCTTGCCCCCAAGACCCGTCACAGAAGCAACACCTCAATAAATACATGTAGATGGTGTCAAGATGCACAAACAAACAAACATTTTACGGACAGAGCTGTTGTGTCTGGATTTTCGGCTACATGACTGGTAACGTTTACAAAGCTAGCTTGGGAAGGCGGGAGTATTTACAGGAGCTCAATATTTTACAACCACTATCAAACAAGCACAAAAAAAAAAATGGAAGATGAAGGGGGAAAAAAGAGAGAAATTAAAGTCAAATTTCACAATGAGCGAAATAACAGGGTTCTGTACTTAGGCGCCGAGTACAAGTGACAAAGCGACAGAGCTGACCGACTTTTAAATACTGCTGCAGCTCATGCCCGGCACTCAAACCACCGCCCAACTGGTTTGTGCGCATCGTGACGAAAATCATGGGCATGTGCTTTACACCGCGCATGCATGAACTAGTACGTGCACACGGTGTGCTTCCAATAAGGGGCATCTTTTCTCATTAATGAAGCAATTGCATACTCTCCCTCTTACACCCGGAGTCTGTCAAGCAAAGATTCAGGTCAAATTCAACTACATGAAACTTTTGCAAGTTCACAAATACAGGGCGGCAACATATAAATTATAAGCAGGCAATCGCAAGCATTTCTTCTGCAGGACACGGATCCAGTCTGCTGCAAAGAAGGTACAAACATACATGTGTGCACGAAATACCTTTTTGCAATCGGCACCTTTCGACAATTTTCTTTTACACTTTTGCAAATCATAGCTAACAGCTACCACATGAAAAACAAAAGGATTCCTCTACGTCTCAGGTACAGCATGGAAGCACAGATCAATACAACATGGATGAGAAAAACAATGGCCGATATGCACCACACATTCGCTAAAAACTGTGAAAAAAAAAGGGTTTTCGTTCATCAACTGGGCTACAATGAAGCAGGTTGAGAATGGAGATGGACTTCTAGAAAAGAGACATTATAAAAATGAAAAGCTACAGGGAGTCAATATTCATATATCCACTTCGGCTTTTGAGATAAAGAATGACTCGACAACCGCGCTTGTACTGACACAGTAGACACCAAGGACATAAGCCTCTTAGCGTCAAGGTTGGAGATGAGGAGATGGGTTTTTATATTGGATTAGATTTGGGGAGGTTAATACATCAGAGAGCCCCTTCTCTGCTAAAAAGGAAACTGTTTGAAAAGGTTTATTGAAGATTCCTATTACAGTGGGGCTCTTTTTTCCCCACAGATTTAAAGAATACTACCCGAGTTACATTTGACTGACTCAAGTACTAAAATCGATTGACAGTTCTATGTTGTTTTACGATATATTTGATTTGACTTACTGTCAATGATTAACTTACAATCACTGACATGCAACACAGGGTCAGAGTGACAGAAGAATTGAAGAGTTTCCCTTTTCCAAAATTCAAAACCACTGATGTTAAGAAGGGAAACCGCATGTAGCTAGTGTGCGATTACTTGAGTTTTTGTTATGGGGGTAATGAAAACCACGAGTTACATAAGGAAGTGTTAATTCATATTTATTCTTCAAATGAAAAACAGCTTTTCATTGACAAGGGGATAGAGATAAGGAAGAAAGGTTCGAATTTGAATTATGCGCAACTAGATGAACAAAAAAAAAACCTATGAATAAAATAATGACAAAGAGCAAGCAAGATGACCAGAATTGAAGCCGAGTCCGTCACAAGTCAAGTCGCAAGTCGACCACCAGTCTGGCCACGAGTCGCGCGGACTAACAAAGAAATGCCTCCGCAGCATGTCATCCGAACAGTCCGTGGCTAGACTCGGGACTGGCCAGCTTGTGATTTGAGAGGACCCGACTGCCAACACAAAAGAGATGGACGGGTGAACCAGTGTGTACCCTGACCCCTTTAGTACTGGTCAGCGTGATCGTCGTAGCTCCCCGGGTCGCTGACAGTGTCATCCTCAAAGTCCTCGGGCGGTGCAAAGCCGTCCTGGCCAGACAGCCGACCGAACGGCACGGAGAGAGCAGCGGGAAGATGCAGCGGAAGAAAAGAGAACGGGTCAGAGAAAGTGAGCGCGAGATGGTAAAGGGAAGACGGATGGCCAGTCTTGAAGGTGAGCAAATTCTTTGACCAAATCCCTGGACATGCAACGGTGTCACACAGGTTTAGGCACGCTCAAGATTCAGTCAAAGTTAGGCAGCTTGATGGCTGAATTATTTCAGCATTTGGCCTACTGCATAAAAACTGTGAGGCAAAAACTGACAAACATTGCCAACTTCAGGTGAGTGCCAGTCATTGTGCAAAATGAGCCTGTCTTTTACTTAAACTGCCCAAGATCTGTCCAAATCTCACAACCGAGTTTTGTACACTGGTCTGTCAACGGATTAAAGACTTAACGACCGAGGCATCTTCGTGTCCCGATTGCTGACAAGTTCAAAGACAAGCACCACTCGCTTCTTTCTCACGGACAGTGAACGATTCAAAGACACAGTCACAGAAAAAAGTCCCGAAGGCCTTACTGAATCTAATTCTCCTTTGTTTGCATTTTGGGCCAGAAAGTTTCTAGAAACCCTACGAAATCCTCCACTGTGCAGGAAACCGAGGGCATATTCTTTGCACTTTTTTTAAGGCTCATCGAAAGAAACAGAAACAGCGGCTCTGCCAGGAGCATGAGGAAGAAATTCAGCAGGAAAATGAGACAATGGAAGAAAGAGGAGAGACAGAAGACCGACCAAATGACTTGGGTGGGAGTCAGTGCTGCAGTCGAGACCGTCAAAAGACCAGTCGCAAGACCAGACACAAGATCTGTCACAAAGACCAGTCAAAATGCACCTCTTCCATGAAATATGCAAATAAGGCAGGCACATGCGAGCATTACTTCCACTGGTTGGGCATAGTTGCTTAACCCCTTCACGGCGGGATTATTTTGACCCCTGACTGCTGGGCTGTAGTA